CCAAACACTTTCTGGATAATAATGTGTTTGAAATTTGTAAAGTGATGATTTTACTGTAACTTAGCAACGATGTCATGTTTGAATCAGTTATATGCATTCAGTAAGTAAACTCCAAAACACCATGTCAAGTTTCTTTTTTTTGAGGAGTAAATTACCTAAATTTTGAACTCACATTTTAAACCAATTGCAAATCCCCCAGTGTTCTTAATGACTAAATAGGGAATAGCTATGAAAGTGGCTGTATTGATTATATCTCCGCTTTTAGCATCAATTAACCCAAACAAATTACACCAGGATGCAATTCACAAATTGGCGCTACAATTTGCACATGTGTGGGTAATCAAACTGGAGTTTACTGCTCAAATATCCATCACATTAACCCCTAGGCTACCGAGCATGTGAAAAGACAACACATGGAATAACGATCTCAATCCAGCGATAATGTTGTTTTTAATCTTTGCCAAGGTTGTTGTCAATGGTTCATTTATCGACGTGTACGCCCTTCAGGTCCAAGTGATGACAAGCGGAGTCCAAGCGGACATCAATAGGCTTCTTCCACGTCGTATTGGGATGTCAGTAATGTCATCCTTGTTCAGAACAGAAACCCTAATGATGACATATTTCTTTGCTCCTCGTCAGCTAATCACTCATGGTCTTTTGGACCGCACATGTGTGACAGTTGAAAGATTAGTTGTGACAATACAATTGGACACTTCTGCTTTTCCAATGAGGACAAATGCGATGGAAGATGTGACTTTTCCACGATGCTGTGCAGCATTATGGATCATCCTTGATCATTTGTATCTAATTTGTAATACGATGATCAATGTATTAATATAGCTTACTATATATTGACCTCTACATCTTTATCTGTACCGAGAACGAGAGTGAGTGAGTTAAGATGTTAAGCCACATAGGCAATATTTCAGCCATATCGTGACTAAATCAAGTTATAGACTTATGATAATTAAACGTAAATTATAAACACATGTCAACGAATGACAGTAAAACAACTAGATTATCACAGATATATATTTAAAACTAGTAATTAAATCTAAAACACTTTAACTATAGAAGACGATACAAAATACAATCAGGCTGTAGATCGCCAACAACTTAAGGTAGATCACCATATTAGGGACCATCTGGACTTACAGTGCCTTTGTTACCTGCATGGAGCCCAGTTGGATTTACACCGTCCCTTAAGCCGCTGGCAATCGCCATAATTTGAAATATCAAATATACTACGTTTAAAGATCCGGTAAGTTTAAATTTATTTTAATAATAATAATAATAATTGTTCTCGGTGCCCTTGGTTTGGTACCTCCTGATCTCTTGGCGCAGATCAGGAGAGTGCCCGGGTTCTCCACCGGGAGTACAGGCCTTCTGACACTCTAGGTAATGCAGAAGGCTGCAGTGTTGGGGAGCCTTCATATTCTCCGGAAAGTTCTTGGTGGGTTCGACTAGGCAGCGTTTCCTGGGAGAAGTCCCATTCGCTGTCTGGGCTGCGTGTAGAGGGGGCAAGGGCCCTGAGCTGATGATGAGCCTTACCAGTCTGACTGTGCCAGGATTACCCAACCCCTCTCTGCTGCATACTATCTTAAATCTGTAAAACATAATAATAATAATAATCATATTAATAATACACAAGCCAGGATCACCCGAACCCTCTCTGCTGCATACTATCTTTAATCTGTAAAACATAATAATACACAAGATTTCTATAGCGCCTTATTTGCTTATTTAAAAACACTCTAAGGCGCTTCACATATAAAATACTGTATGGTGATATACAGGTGGTATACGAGTGACGCTAAAAGATAAAATATTAAAAGCATGGTAAAACACATACAAGAAAGAAGTTAAAATTGTACACAGTGATAAAACCAATGATACATTATGTGGAATAAGCAGCTTTAAAAAGATGAGTTTTAAGAGCTTTCTTAAAAATGTCTAGTGAGGATGAATTTCCAAAGATTAGCTGAAATGCTGTCAAAACATCTGTGGCCATACGTTACTGTACGTGTCTTTGGTTGACAGAGACGGGATTCAGATTCTGATCTGAGTGACCTGGCTGGATGATATGGCACAACAAGTTCCTGAAGATAGTATGGAGCCAAACCGTGGAGACATTTATGAGCATACATCAGGATCTTATACTTGCATCTCTGTCTGACTGGGAGCCAGTGTAGTTTCTCTCTGACAGGCGTAATCTCCTCACGTCGGCCAGTTTGGTAGTGAGTCTAGCCGCACAGTTCTGCACCTTCTGTAGACGACTGGTGAGAGTTTCAGGTAGTCCACAGAGAAGACCATTTCCATAATCCAGTCTAGATGTTACTAAAGCATGTACTAGAGTCTTACAACAGTCTTCTGTGATGTATCTGAGTATCTCACTCTTGGTCTTTACAAGCAGCTTGTGATATGACTGACACATACTCCCAAACAATTGATGGTGTACAAGAAGCTTAGACCTCTGCCAGAATCTCTCTGCTTTACGTCGCTGGTGCTTAAGTTCTCGGAGCTCATCACTATACCATGGAGAGTTAGGCCTCAGTGTTATGACCTTCGTCTGTGTGGGAGCATGTTTATCAATCAGAGTTTGAAATCCGCTGTTGTAGGCACTCAGAAGTTCATCCAGTGAACCATTTGTGAGCTGTAGGGATTCACTGGATTACACATCCTTGATAAACTCCTGGATGGATATAGCTTTGTATCTACGAAAAGTTCATGATTGTCTCATTAACCCAGGTTTGACACAGCAGAGATCACAGTTTATTGCAAAATGATCTCCAGCTGATGACCATACTTGTCACAGAATCCAGGAACAACTACCACAGGATCACTACGTAGAATAGGACTGTTGTGTCTGGTAATCAACACATCTAGTGTGTGGCCGTGGATATGTGTGGGTCCGGTAATATGCTGTACAAAGCCATGAGCGTCCAGTACACTGTGGAACTGCTTTGTATCAGGGTTGGAAAGGTCGTCCAAGTGAAAGGTTAAGTCGCCTGTAATGATAATTTCCCGGGGAAGGAGATTCAACAGATTCCGATATTCTGCCCACTCTACGAAGAATATGCTGTTTCTAAGACGTTTACCCTGGATGGTGGAGGGCGATATATTACACACAGAATGAAGTGGATGTCACCTATTGTCACAGAACACTCAATGTATTCAAAATGTGTAGCACTTTCATCAGCACATACCTTCATCTTCTTTACATGAAGTTCACTTTTATGTACGATAGCAACGCCTCCGCCTCGCTTGTCTTTACGAGGGACGTGAGTAATACTGTATCCGTTTGGTACCAACTCTGTGATCACATGTGCATCAATGTTGGTTCCAAGCCATGTCTCTGTAAGAGCTAGGATGTCGATGTTACGGGTTGTCATCAAATCGCTGATTGACAATGCTTTGTTTTTTACCGATCTGCAATTCACTGAACACAAGGAAAACACATTCACTTGCTCTGTGCTACTTTTATTCAGAGGTATCGTTTTTAAATTTGATTGATTTACCCCACTTGAAGTTGTCTTTTTTATTTGGTACGTGTTGATTCAACAATTGTGTTAACATAAGACACATTGCTAACTGCATGAACATCGGGTTTGGTTGGAGCTATATGGGTGAGCTTTTAAAGTTGACATATTTTTGTACATTATGGTTACGTCTTGTTGCTGTTGGTATCACAGGAATATGTCTTGTTATCTTCCTTCAAGCTCTCTGACCTCTTTTCCTTTTCAGATTTAACAGGTCCGGTATGCAGTTCAAGACATGCATTGTTTTCACCTTGGCTGTAATCAATGCTGGCTGTAGTGACATAAGCTCGTCTCTGCTGTACACAATGCGGGCTTGATTGGTACCCATTGTCTTATTGTCCTGGTGTGAGCAAACTGGCCACAGTGCTTGCCTATTGATTGATTTCTCACAGGAGAAACTTGAAATATTCAGCAATATAGTCAACCAAAACACCTCGTAAATCCACATTTCTAGATCTCTAAATCTCTTCTAGGTATCCTTATACATGTCCATGCCGTTTTCCAGGAATGAAGAGTAGTTACAAAACACATAAATTCAGTAAAACATGAGAGCTCATGTACATGTGACTGTCGCTGCTGAGCGCCAGTAGAATTTTGAAATTTTGGGACTCCGAGAACGAGAGAGAATTAGCACACAGATGACAGAGTTAACACATGAAATGCAATCAGACACAGTGAAACAAACTGAAGTAATTGTTGATTGTAAGGTTATGATAACGTGCCGAGGAATTTGAAAGATTGTATTGAAATATACATGTGCAGTTGATTATCTGTTTTGGTGAATGAAATGTGACAATTCACAAGGATATCCGAAGAACTTAGCATGTGGTTTCACAGCAAGGTCATTTTCCCACATGAAAAATTCAATACAATTCAGCAACTGCAAAGGTAAAAACAAAATTCTTCCCTTCAATGTTGAGAGGACTGACGAACAACACCTGCACCGGTAACCTCGGGCACACTGAGGAAGTTTCCACTCGGGTATTGATGTGACAATAAGTGGAAGCAGGTGTAATATCCTATAAATATATCCGAGGCTAATCTCCACCGGAGGCTAATCAAGTTATTTTTGAAACGTAAGATACATGTCATTTCTATTTTGGCTCAAGATGCTTATTATCGTCAGCTACTGAAGGGATGGTGTAATTCCAGCAAAAGTACTGTAAGTCGTATAGTGATTCACCTTCAGAAACTAGCGATCAATAGCCCGTTTTTATATTGCGATGTCTTGTAAAGTGTAATATTTTTAAAGTTACATGCTAGTCTTAAATGTACGTCTGTGATTTTCTAGTTGCTTTGGTGTCCTAAGTCGGTTATATAATCTAACCTTATGTATTATGTTCTTGTTTTATTCACGATATAACTCCAACACCACCGATGTCACCATAAATCTTAAATCACTTGCTCTCTCCGTCAAGCTGAAAGCCATAACTGCTGTCTTTTTCTCTATTCTCAGGAGCGGTAATCATTTTCGAGGTGACCTCGTCATTGCCTGACTACATCGTAAAAGTGATATGACAATCAGTAACTTGGACGTTCAGCAGTATGACGTTAACACCTGAGTCTGTGACCATGGAGCTGGAAATGGATATTGAGAAACTCGGTTATGTGAATGGAAACGTCTCTGAAGACATGATCAGGGTCAACTTGACTAGTACCAGCAGAAGACCCACACAGACATTCAGGAGGATGCCAACCATGGATCCCATGTTGGCCGTACTCTACCAATTCCAGTTCTACGGATATCCTGTAATCTTAACCATAGGGACACTTGGGAATGTGCTTGCTTACCTGATATTTACACGAACTCGTTTGAAGAAGGTATCGTCAGTTCAATATTTAGCAGCACTTGCCATAACAGACACTGGGTTTTTGTGGACATCATTTCTCACTCCCTTATACGGATATTATAAGGTGCCCATCATCATCCAAGATGGATTATGCCAGTTCATGACATTTCTCAACTATGTGTTTACGTTTTTGTCTATCTGGTATCTAGTAGCCCTTGTAGTGGAACGGTTTATAGGAGTTTACTGGCCTATGCAAAAAAAGCACCATGTGTACACCCTTCAGAGCAAAACTTGTGATGTCTTTCATGGCTGTTGTTGCTGTGGCGTGTTACTCTTATGTTGTGTACTTTTTTGGACCCGATAAAATTTATGGCATTTTGCAATGCATGCCTTGGAAGGAACTTCGGATTCATTTTGAAAATCTGAGTAAAATTGACACTTTCGTGATTGCAATAATTCCCTATGGAGTCATCGTCATCTTAACAGCTCTTATTGTAATCAGAGGTTGTGAGTATCGCATTTCTGCTTCAGTGGAATTATTTTCACATCAGAATCAAAATGGAAGAACAGGATCACAACCCTCGGCACATGTAACGAAGATAGTATTCCCCGTCGTTATCCTGACAGTAATGAGTAATCTTCCTGTTATGATACTCAGAACAGCAATGACCATCCATGGGGTAAAGAATCCTCAGATTGCTAAGTGGAATCAAGTGTTTTATGTTGTGTATATTATCAACTTTGCAGTCAAGTTCATTGTGTATATAACATTTTCTGGGAGCTTTCGCCGCCGAACATTGGAAGTGCTTAAGAGAGGATATGATAAAATCAAACGAGCTTGTCGGAAAGGCGTTGCACACTCTGAAACTGATGCACACCGGATAAACATGGAACCAATGCCTTCAGACAAAAATCAATCTTGTCGATTGAAGAAAACCGATATTTGAATGTATATATATATATGAAAAAATACTTTAGGTTTTACGTAACACCTTCAGCACTGTATCACTCAAAATATATTACTTGGACACAGACATTTAATATCTATTGTACTCAAAAAAAACACCAAAACATATTCCTTTTTACATTTTCTGCCAAATAAATATATGAACTGCCACTTTCTTTACTACTGCATTGAATATTCCATCACAAGGGATAACTATTTCAAAGTAAACACTATGAAGGATCTTTTTAATAATGTTACTTCTCATTTAATTATTGCATTTTTAAAAGAATTAGATCTGTTAAGTGATTTGTAAATAGATATATATTTTATTATTGGAAGTTTGAATTAGTAACACAGATTGTTAGTGGCTGTATCCTCGAGGGGGGTTAAAGTACTGTAAAATTATTGTCCTCCTGAGAAGGTACGTAAGTCCCAAAACATTCAAAGTAAATTTCAACTTTCCGTTTTTTAATCGTAGAATATGTGTAATTTTAATGTATGGTTAGATATATCTCAATTGCTAACAGCTGAGGGGATGATGTAAATCCAGCTAGGGCCCATGCAGGAAGCAAATGTACTGTAAGTCCCCATGGTCCCTAGTATGGTGATCTACCTTCAGTTGTTAGCGATCTATAGCCCATTTTTATATTGTGTTGTCCCCTATAGTTAAAATGTTTTAGATTCAATTACTAGTTTTACATATATATCTGTGATAATCTAGTTATTTTACTGTCCTTCGTTGGCAGAATTTATAATTTCACTTAAATTGTTGATATATTTACAACTTGCTTTAGTCACGATATGGCTGAAATATTGCCGATGTGACTTAAAATCTTAACTCACTCACTCACTCACTTTCTTTACTGGATGCCACACTTCGATATTAAATAACACTAACTGTTCTTGTTTAAGCCATTGTAGTCTACAGTATTATCAGGCAACACTGTAAATCACTCAATCTCGTCCTGCTTCGTGTAAGTACGAAAGCTGACGAGAAGATCAGTACACCAGGAAAGTGCCAGCGATATATAATAGACACATACCGGTCCATGAGTACCGTGTTGCTGGGCAGCATACTATTAGACCAATTAGTCTGTCAGTGCCGGATAAACATCGTTTCCTCTGGAAACGTAAGGGACAAGGAAAAGCGTTCCGAACAGTGACACCAACATTTGTTTACACTGGCCCTGGTCACACTTGATATATGGCGGCTCCACCTTTGTTGTATCTACACTTATATTGGGTGTGTAATCCTGCTTTCACTTGATGTCTTCATAAACATTTGTTCCTATATGTAACCATGCCATTCAATTTACCATTCAAACCCTACCGAGAATAATAAAAAACCCACCATGGCAAGTTATATCAAAAGAAAAACAACATTTTAGCTTCCAATTTGCAATGTCTACAGATGATCATATATAATCAATACGTTAGCGGTATGGTAATGAAACGTACGACTCAGACTTTCTTGCCCTGAATATGTTGTTCCCTCGAATTCCTTCTGATGATGGAAACGACTGTGAATAATAGGATTGAAAGTAAGAATCGTAGTTGTGTTGTGTTTTATGCCGAACATATTGAACGAACCAAATTGTCGCATGTTTTGCTGAAAACATCACTTTTAAATGCGGTCATTATGGAAACTCTTTTAACATCGGAGCTCGACAGTTAAAGTTATGCTCTATGATTATTGTTAAAGAATCAATTACATCGTCCAGAAAATCAAGCAGTGAGTGAATTCTTTTATGGGCATTTTAGAAGTTGTTGATGAATAATGATGACAAATTTTATGGATATACAACTTCTTTTATTGTGAAATGCGACGTTTCGACATAGAGTCTAATGTTGTTGTCATCACTTGCTTGACTTTCTTGAGTCGCCTTTCTTGAGTCGCCTTTCTTGAGTGAGTGAATGGTGATAACAATATGGGCAGGAAACACGTTCGATCACCTTAAACGCACAGTAGCACTCTTGTACACCATGATGTTCTGCGAATGCAAAGCCTCCGTTGTTTGGCATACGAGGCCACATCAGCAGTAATTCAAACTTACCGCATGGCGACACTGAAGGTGACACAAATAACGCCAAGAAGTCAGGTTCACTACTGCAGGGAGACTTCAAGAATTCAAGTGACGTGCCCACACACACCATCTCTGCGTTACGGAAACGTACAACACTACTCAAAGTGCTAATAACAGGCCAAGGTCAGGTCCCCCTGGAGTAACCACCTTTGCCCAATATCGATACATCAGGGTGTGTCATCTCCGAAAATAAACACAACAAATACAAATACAGCAACTACGTAGAATATTCCACCATGCATTTAGTAACCGGCTGAAGGAAACAGGGACCCCCACGTTACTTGGAGGAGTGTCTGCTGTGGTACCATTTCTGGTGTCCCCCGCCGTGATATTGCTGGAATATTGCTAAAAGCGGCGTAAAATCATACTCACTCACTCACTCATCTTGTGGCATATGAACTGAGGACCATCATATATCTGACGGTGCAACACCTACGGTGGACTGTCCGAGCATGACAACGCAAGCCAAGATATTGCATCACAACGTATTACCTTGGCTTGCCCGTTCGCCGAATTTGTCACAAATCGAACGTCTGTGGCATGCACTGAATGAGCTTGTGTGTCACTGTCAAGTTTTTTCTGTTGAAGAGTATATGTCTATGGCTTTATTCCATGTTTGGCTGGAAGGTTTATGCATTGTCTCATTATCTAATTACACTAGAGAGCCTAAATTTTGTGCTATATATTCCCATCTATTACAGGAGTATCGGGAAGGTATGCGCTACGTTTTGTTGCTGCTCTCTCCAACATCTGACTGTTTGTTTGCTACACGTTTGCAAAAGCATGTATGGAGTTGATGTGTTTGTTTGTTGAGTCTGGACCAGACAATCCAGTGATTATTATGAGCATCGATCTACGCAATTGGGCCATGACATTTGTCAACCATGTCAGTGAGCCTGACCACCCGATCCAACGGGTCGCCTTCTATGATAACCATGGGTTGCTAGAGAGAGCAATTCTAAACCAGATCTTCACGGATGTTATGGAGATAATAGACTTGGCATATAGCTTTACTGTATTATCATTCAAATGTTATTTCGATACAATTGCCAACTTTATGTTCAAAAGCATTCACTTGTTAGTCACACCACTCTCATTATCTATTCGCTTTTTAATGATAAAGGCAACTGCTACCGTAGTATCTACATTTTCAAAGGTATTGTTGCAAGTTAACGCCAGGAGTTGACTTTGTTGAGTAATTCTGTTGTTAGTAATTTGTGAAGCTGATGCATGTATTTCTTAACAGAGTGGCGGACTTTAACGTTACTGTGAACTGTATTGTAGTCATATGAGGGCGTGTCCAGTGAGTGAGGAAACCACGCTGTAATGTGCATCTAATATGCTTACCACTCTGATGCAGATATAAGCGACAAGTACAAAGCAGTCTCAATACCCACAGCCAGGAAATCAACGATGTGGTCCGGAACAAGAAGATTCATAACTCAGAGTCATTGGATTCAGCTACTCCTGAGGGAGTGCAAGATACTGATTACATCCATATATTCTTACTACTGCTTTGGACTGGACAGGATTGTCTACTCGCCTGATTCTTTTGCTGCCATCCGTGCTAAATATGATAATAGTGGTCGAAAAATAGAAAATGACAAGTGTTTCATGCCTAACAATGCCATTGATGCTGAATAGATATGAATAAAAATCGCCCTGGCAGAATAGATATAGGAAATCGCAGCCTACAAGCAGCAATAACGTTTCCCACTGGGTAATATGGACAAACATTCATACACGAAAATAAATGAAAATACTAATGACATTGACATTTGGCACATACTTTTGAGTGATAATATATCGAGCATAACATTAACAGGTTAAAGGACTAAATAAACCACGTGTGGTATGTTGAAAGCATGAATGACTAACTGGACTTTATTTGTACATATATAGTCTCCCAAAAAAGAAACGCATCATGAAAATAGCAATTTCATGTAGCAATGAATTAAAACGTGATTTATTTTACAAAAGGTTTTGCTCTGTTTATGAGTCCTATGGTGTTTATGTTTTGAAATATCACAACAAAACGCACCATCCGTAAAATACCTGTATTTAACAGCATTATTTCCAATTTCGGCGTGTAGTGTCACAGAATACACAATGATGGGTATAAAAGGTTGATCGCTGTCTGTCGATTATTCACAGTATTTAGCATATTGTTGACGAACGCAAAATGCCACGTCTAAGTGAAGCCAACCGCCATATCGCCATTGGTTTGCTTGAAGCTGGCCAGACTCAACGTGCAGTTGCCCGACGCATGAATGTTCACCAAAGCACCATTTCACGGCTCTGGGAGAGATATCGCCGGCAGAATGCGGTAGCAGATGCCCCTCGTAGTGGGCGACCTCGAGCGACCACTGCGGCGCAAGATCGCTACATCCGGGTACATCACCTGCGTCATCGAACAGCTACGGCGACCAGTACCGCTCGACAAATACCCGGATTGAGGAGGCTTTCTGCACAGACCGTCAGGAACAGGTTGAGAGAGGCTGGTTTACGTGCCAGAAGACCTTATTTTGGCCCTGTGCTTCGACAACAACATCGTCGACATCGAGTTCAATGGTGCACCAACGTTCAGGCCTGGAACCTACCGAATTGGCGTAGAATCTGGTTCAGTGATGAATCACGATTTCTATTGGAACGACGCGATGGAAGAATGCGGGTATACAGACGTCGACGTGAACGTTTCGCCGACGCTTGCGTTCCCCAGGTGGACAGATTCGGCCGGGGCAGTGTTATGATGTGGGGAGAGATCACCTGCCGTAGGAGAAGTGATTTGGTGATGATCCAGGGCAAACCTGACAGCTAAACGGTACTGTGACGAAATCCTACGCCCACACCTCCTTCCAATCATTGATCGCCAGAGGGAGTTGTTTCAACAGGACAATGCCAGGCCCAACACAGCACGTCATACTAGAGACTTCCTCCAGAACCACAACATCAATGTGCTCCCCTGGCCCTCAAGATCACCGGACTTAAACCCGATCGAACATCTGTGGGATGCCCTGGACAGAC